TGGTTGAATCAGGCCAAAGCAACCTGGTAAGCTACTGGTATAGTTTTCCAGATGAGGTCCTGTGACAGAGCAGGCAGCAGCCTCAAGAAAATCAGCGCCTACTGCGGTGCGCTTTCTACCTGTTCGAAGAAATGATGAAGGAGAAGTGGCACTGTTTGGGCTGGGGTAGGGGAGGGGGGAATCTCCATAGCTTTACAGTAGTTCACGTCTCCACAGGAGACAACGGCAGTTATCGATGGGAACCAGCGAAACGCTCCCACCGAGTCGATCTGCGCCGGAGAAGGTGCAAGTGAGGTGGCATATTCGCCAGTTAAAAAGACCCAAACTAATAGACTTAGGAGAATTGCAGTTGAGGCAACCTGAGACCTTACGGGACCTAACTACCTTATGGGCATCCCCACAACCTTACCGGCAACTGCTATGCGGTGCGCTTCGGTCTACGGACAACTTGAACTCAATCCCTTTGAACGCGTCGATCTTCTCTTTTTCTCTGCACTCTCTCGTCCGCATGGCACTCTATGGCCGTTGTGACTTCGCTCACTCCAGCTTTTCACCGACTATAAGTAGCTCACCCACCCCGGAGTCCCCTCCCTTGAAAAATCCCGTTTCCTGGCTCGCCATACGTTTTTTGCACGTTTCGATGCTTTGGCAGCCGCTGCCCTCTATCCGTCTGCGTCACAGGGTTTCGTAACAGGACCATGCACAAAAGTTCAAGATGTCACGTAACCGTTAGGAGGTTATGCGAGTGCGACAACGTACTGTATGCCGTTCCCATGACATCCGGCACTGGTCGTTGAGGTTGAGGTTGCAGAGCTATTTTCAAAATGCTTTGTTGTTTGTTGTAGAATCCCATGCGGGGACCATGAAAGTGTAGTTCATTTATGGTGCGCGCTCCTCGGAAGGCCAGAAAAATATTGGAATTACGCTCACCGTTGGATCCCATAGGCAATAAAATTTTCCATTCTTACCTTCTTCGATTCAAATAAGTCTAAACCTTTTGCCTTAACACACTGTGTCCGAAGAAATTTTAAAACGCTCCAACGACGAATTCGTCCTGAGCTTGTAGAACTTTTTCTGGCCCCACAATGGAAAACATAGCCAGGACGAGAGGCGCAACATGAAACTACGTTTTTTAGGCCTCCGCACGAATTTACAGCATGCAACAAGCCGTTTGTACAATGGACTCACAATCCCAGAGACCCTCCCCCTTCCTTGTGAGCGTGGTCTTGTTAACGTCTTTTTTCTCAGAATTTCGACTGTTTTCCAGAGAGCAGGCATGTAAGCTAAACCAAAACAGCTCTCAGATCCCATTTAAGCAACAGGTTTCACATTGTGCTAGCAAAATTGAGGACAAAGAACAGCACTGAAGTAATGGGCCGTATCGCATTAGATGCCAGTTCCAACATGAAATAGTTGCAATTAGCCGTACCGCCGCGCGGATGCGAGGACGACTGGAGAATGTCGAACGAAAATCTCCTCCTCAGTTGGCCTTCGACTAATGGCGTGAGTGGGCGAACGCGTGAAACCATTCAGATCAAGGACGTAGTGAACGCTTGGATGGTAATGGAATGAGCGTAGGCTTGGAGAAACGAGGGGAAAGGAAGTACTCAGAGCTAAAACCTACTCATAGCGCTCTGAAATCGGCTAGACCGTGTTAAAGATAAAATAGATGTTAGGATGCCTTCGTACGGGACCTGAGGGTGATCGCAGCTCCTAGGAAGAGCTGTTCATCACTGAAATCTGAGTTCAGCTCCAAGGAAACGGGCCTTTCCATTTGTACCCAATGCTCACACAAGGAAGTAGCAAAGACTTTAACCCGTCGTTGCAAACCAAATATTTCTACACCGTTTCATACTCTTTCATCCTCAGTTAATAGTATTGATTTTCAAAAAGTATTTATTTACCCGGGAGATCCAAGTTTCTCGTGTTTGGAAACTCCTTTCTTCATTTTCGGAACCATAGGACTTGCCTGAGAAGATAGGCAAAACGGTCCTTCCCCTGGTGGCCGAGGGCTTCACGCCAGGGTTCGTGTGCATTTTCTGGCCTGGATTTCCCTTGACATCTTTCCTACTTGGTGGTGGACTTTTTTATAGGTAGTTCAACAATAGCCTGAAATATATTAGAAAAATCCACAATAAAAAGAAAAGAAAAATGAGTGAATGGTAAGATCTGCTTACTCTATTGAAAAGAAAATTGTAAAATCACCATCAAAAACATTAATTTCAGGCCCTCTGTTTGCTCACGATATCGGCTTCGGCAGGACTTAATACCGTCAAAATGATACAAAGGAACTTCCCTCCAACCCAGTTCCTATGGCGACAACCGGAGATATTCAATCCCAATTTTATCCAGGTAGGCACTAAGTTGCTCTTCCATTTCTTACTTGAGGACACATTCCGCGATATGAGTGTGGGCGGAGACCCACAACAGTTGCACCTCCTTTAGCCCGTCTTCTCTGCTATATCAAAAAAAGGGTGTCTCAAGGGAAAAAGGCAGATCGTTGGTCATGAGTCTCCGTCCGTATAGCCATCGTGGAATGTGCCTTTGAAGACCTGATAAGTGAGTCCCCACCCCATTGCGTCAATGGATCACTGGGTTCAAAATAAGGAGAAACAGGTTCTACTGCAATACAAATTCAATCAAGGACAAAATTCCTATTCGATAGTGAAAGTAATTTTCACAATTTTCCAGCATCACGTTGAACTCTACATCAAACCGCAGTACCGTATCGGACCATACATCATTGGTTTAATTCTCGGCTACGTTCTAGCCAATTACCAACGCCAAGCAATTAAACCTACGAGAAGCGCTGGATTTGTAGGTGGGTGTGGCTTCACAGAGCTTCACTTGAGCAGTTTTATTAACAGAGAATTTCAGCTACTGGATGGCTCATTGGTTTTCTGTGTGGTTTCTGGGCCCTGTTCGGCCTTTATCCATCTCTACAAGGCTGGAATTGGCCGATTTATCACCTTGTCTACGGTACAGTTCACAGGTTCGTGATAAGGTTTTCTGAAAACAAGGGAAAACATTTATTTATTCTATTTGAGACATGAATAAGTAGATAAGTAAATAAACAAACAACTACTAAGAAGTCAACATTTCCAGGGATGTGTTTGCTATAAGCATGGCTTGGTTAATATACGCTTGCCATACGGGTCTCGGAGGCTTCATCAATCGAATTCTAAGTGCCGACTTCCTTGTGCCTTTATCGAACCTCTGCTTTGCGGTAAGTCATTTCAGTTCCTTTTC